TGTTTTTTTCAGTTGTTTGATTGATGAAGGAAATAATTCTTGTAATTTAACATTGATAGATTTCGACGTATAATTGATTTATTCTACTAAAATATATCTCCAATAATAATTTTATTTTTAATTTAAGGCTATCTTCACATTGCGCAAAGTGTGACGTTGTCAGAAGCTAGTATTTGATAATGATAGTTTTTCTGAAACACAAAAAAAAAATGAAATCGTAATAGTAATTCTGAAAGTATTACGAGATTCGAGAAAAGTCGTCCCTGTAGGACACTAGTGAAAGTATCCAAGAAGAGATAATGAAAACTCACTACTCGAAAAACAAAATTGATAATCAAAAATACTTCTATCATATCCATGTGAAATTTTATTTCATGGCATGAAACTACAAAAACACAAAGTTAATAGAAAAGATCTTGTTTGATCTTTTTAGAATTTGTAAAATCATAATTTCAATACAATAAGCAATGCAAAGATCCTTGGAAAAATATCAAACTCTATTACATCATATTGCAAATTTCTAAACCAATAGATTTTTATTGTTGAAAAGAGTAATGTCTGGACTACAAATTTTGTATCAGATATATTTTTTCAGAATAAATCTAAGAAGGAGGAATAGTCAAAAACCAAACATCTCTAAAAAAATTTCTGACAACGTTTTTGCAACTTGAAAAGTTTCTATTTCTCAATTATGTTGAACTATATGAACCAAATTCTAATAAAAAAATTCATGCAAATGTAGCGTATCAAAAACTCCATCGATGTTAGCTTTTGTAAAATTTTAAGATTCGTTCTTGACTCTTTATTGAAAAAAAAAAAATTTGGAAACTGAAATTTTTTGTAAAATAGAGTTTTGCAAGAACGATCAGTTTGAAAGGACATCAGCCATACATAGCAGAAAAAAATAATTCGACGATACTTTTTCGTTGCAAAACAGTCAGGTAGTAAGAGCGATCAAATTATTTTGTTACAAAAATCAAGAGTAAATTTAACTTCCTATATACCATTGAAAAGAGAACTATTTACTCTACAAAAAATTATCATTAAACGTGTTTTTTATTTCACTTCTGATTTAAAAAATTTAACGGAAAACAGAAAAAGTATATTGTGTAATGATGAAGTTGCAAGAACTTTTTTTAGAGATATTTGTTTTTTTGGTGTTTCCTCTTTCTAAGAAAAAAAAAAGTTTTATTGTTTTAGAAATTGGCAATACGATGTAATAGAGTTTAATATTTTACCAAAGAGTTTTGGATCGCGTATTAGACTAAATTCTATCGTTGAGAAACACGGTTGTGTTGTGTTGCTATTATTTAACGTAATGTAAGAAAAAAAGTTAACTAATGTCTTAATTAACATAGGAAAAACTCCTTAATGTTGAAAAACTAAAGAACAACATATAAATTTTAAGAAGTTCATGTACCAAACATACATCGAAGAATTCATAGAAAGAAAAAAGAATCAAGAGTTAGCATTGTAGTTTTATATGAACTGATTTGAGAAAAAGAAATATGCAGTTCTTATTTTTATATGACTAATTATTTGAGAGGTCTTATCTAATAACAAGTCTTTTTTGTGCGCCAAATCTTCATCTAATTTAAACAAGCATCTGTATGTTCTCTTTTTTTTTACAATGTTACAACTACTATTTATTATTAGTAAGTAGTTGATCACTAACTTTGTTAAATAAATATTTCCATACTGTTGAAATTATATAGTTTTTGAATACAATAATATATGATTAAGAATATATATAATAATTATATTTGAAATATTAGAACATACATTACTAATATATATTTGTAAGTCAAAATATTGTACTTGACACTAAAATATGACATTATGAATAATGTTCTTCTATTAATATTTATTATATTTTCCATTGAAAACAAAAATAGGAAAAGAATAAAAATGATCTACTCTGCATTTTTTATGTTGATCTATTTTTAGTAAGATAAGAAAAGTATTTCTTATAAGTTAATTTATTGAGAATGTGATGTTAATTACATATAAGAGTACTTCTTCATTTCTGCGAAATGGATAATTTTATTTTTTATAGTCTTGTTCAATATTCATACATTTTATACGTTCGAATGCTATTATTGTAATGATGAACAAGGTTATTATTGTCCTCAACCATTTCCAACAAAATTTATGTTTAAAAATCATGAACAATACAATGAACAAATAAAAAATGTAGCCATCAGTTCGAGTAATAATCCATTAAGAGAACCAATTGTTAGTTGCTACGTGCGTAAGATAATTGTTTTTCAATTTTTTTTTAAGGATTTATATATTTCTTATCATAGAAAACTAATTATTATAACAATAATCTTGAATATAAAAATACATATCGAGGTTCAATAAAAGGTTCGATGAATGATTCTATAACATGTGACTCAAATTATCGATTATCACAAAATCCAAATTATCCTGGTTGGGAAAAAACATATTGTTGTTATCAGAATCGATGTAATCTATCACGAACTATTTTCAAAGATGGTAATACAATTATTTTATTATATATTATTTCAACACTACTCATTGATCCTTGAATTAGTTGTGTTAATTACGTTATCTTTTGTTTTATTATATTGTTATTAAATATAAATTAATATAAGCAACATTTTATGAGAATAAAATACTTAGAAAAAAAAAACTAAATTAATATTTTAATATTCAATGGAACAATGTTGTATTAATAATATATATCCTACAGCTAATTTTACAATGAATAACATATAATCTATTTAAATTCCTTTTCAAAATAAAACAGAATAATATTTTCTTTGTAATTAAAAAGAGAGAACTGAGAACCATGAATATAGATAATTATTAATGCGGCTTTGAATAATCACTAATAGATTCAATTGTTATATCATGTTTTTAAATCTGTTCTTTTTTTTCTATTTTCTTAAATTTAATTAGCCATATAATAAAAGGATATCGGAGTAAATCTTTATTTATACCCTTCAAACTTATTGTACTGTCACGCATTAAGGGCAAACAAGAATGCACGAAGATGATGAAGTGATTGTCAGGAAAATATTTGCCTAAAAATATAGTTTGTCATTGGTGAATATTAATGATATTATCGAAAATTACAAAAAAGAAACATTACTCAAGTTCATATAATAAAGCTTTGGATATTCCTGTAGACATCTGTTCAAGAAATGAATTATTTATCATATGATTAGAAAAAATTGTCTTGTAGTGATTGTCACTGTTGTTGTTGTTCTTTTTTAAATATTCTATTATTATTTAGTTTTGTCGAAGCATCAGATGCAAATGAATGCCATTTATTTGTCTTGTTCTATGTTTCTAAATTGATCATATCTCCGAACTTAAAATCATCTATATTTAATGAGTCCATAGACACAAACATTGAGGCATCATATCTATCTATCTATCTATTCGACAGATTTTTTTTTCTCTTTTCATATTAATATAAAATATGTCGTACTTTACGATACAATATATAAGACATAAAACTAAGAGACGAGTTACTCGTTGTGATTCATTCTTTCAAGTAAATTACTTGTCATACATATTGAATGCGTGATTTGATTTTAGATTTCCTCATTTGCGGTTAATTTTTCTGTATGGAAATGAGTAATTACTATTATTTTAGTTTAATTCAATCTTTGAGCTTAAGACAATAAGATCTTAAATTAAACTATTTCGTCTCGATTTAGCTTGATCGTGGTCAAAATCTTTGAATAGAATGTATTTTTAATCTTAACAACATACGCAAAGAATACAAGCATGCATATATCCCTGGAGATAGACTAACGGCTCATCTTCCTAGTCAAGTCTCCAACACTATCGCAAGCACACATATAAATATGATGTATTTTAGTTTAGTATGTAAGATGGTAATCATTCCATTGCTTACAGCATTCGAAACTCGAGCTGCTACTATTTTTTTTTTTGATCATTATTTATAATATTCTACCGTCGATTCGGATTTAATTAGTTCTCTTTTTTTAATGCTTTTGATACAGAAAAAGAAAGAAGAAAAAAATGTCATATTGTTATGTGCACACTAATCTGTAGAACAAAAAAACAAGCCTGATTAGTGCAAGAAAATACATTGGATAGCTCATCAATTTATTAGCTTTTACTTTTGTTTTTGTTCATATTTGTAAACAATCCATTGGATTAGTAGGAGGCTATTTCAATAGATTACTAATTTGACAGTACGAAATGGATGAATGCACATCAGTTAGATGACTCGAAGATTTGATCATGCGTATTATAATCAATGAATAGGATCAGAATTATAAAACAAAATATGTCAATCTTTACTGTTTAGTTCATGTCTTTTTTTTTTCTTTATAGTATTATAATATTCACTTGAGCAATTCCTTTTCTTTTTTTATAATTATTAGTTTGTAATAACATTAGAAAAATTTGTTTGAATTTAGAAAATTAATCATTTCTTTATTGTTTTTATTAATATGAAAATAGAATTTTATTTCTTTTAATTTGGTAAATTATTAATAACATCTTTACAATTAATTTTATCTTTTGGGTAAATAACTTAATTTTCGTTTTGTTTATATATATATATATATATATATATGTCGACTATTATGGATAGTGTGTCGTTGATAGTTTTTTCTTTGTCTACGCAGTAACAAAACATAAAAGAAAACGACGAAGAGAAAGACGAGAATGACAACTATAGTAAAGAAGAAAGTCTAATAGTCTTATCAGAAAACTAGAAGTAGAGAAGAAGAAAGAAAAATATTAGTGTTGATGTGTATTTAACAGAGTATTGCGAAGAAAAATGTCATCATACTTTTATTGATAAAATCTATTCTTCATCTTCTTTCTTTTTTTTAGAAATTCGAACGTGTTTACTTTCACTTGATTGAACTTTTATAACCGAAGAAAAAAAGTAGGAAACGACGTAAATAAAATGTCATTCAATGTTATATATCATTGTTTAATATTAAACGATCATTATTAATAAAAACAAAAAGAAAGAAGAAGTAAAAATGGATCAATATAATATGTCATTGACTTCAACGTTTTCAACTCTTCTTCTTCTTACAAATCATTCTTTAAATGGAACATTAGCATCATCATCATCATCATCATCATCATCATCATCGGCGTCATCGTCATCATCAATGGGTAGAAATACCCTTATGCGTTATTCTCAAGTTGTTTATGTCGCCGCATTAGTAATTCTTGGTGTTTCTGGAAATATAATATGTGCCATTGTCTTTTGTACTAAGTCATTAAGGTAAATACGAACAAAAGGAGAGATAATTATTCAATTAGATAAATGAATCTGCCAACTTACCGAATGATTCTTTTGTTCTCTATGACATTAAACTCTTTTTTTCTTTCCGATTCTTTTTTCATAATGCAAAAAAAAAACAAGAAAGGTTTGAAATAAAATAAATATTTTTAGACGTATTCGTTCATCAGCATATCTATTTATTTTGGCATTAATTGATGCTTTTTTTATTCTTGATCTTTTACCTGGTATGGTTCATACAGCATTTTTTAATGATCTATATCGTAAAGTTCATTTTATTTGTTATATTCAAACATATATATCATTTGTTGCTTCATTTTTACACATATGGATGGTGCTTGTATTTACAGCTGAACGATTTTTTGCTGTAAATTTTCCATTAAAACATATGTCACAATGTACACCAAATTTATCTCGTATAGTGATATTAATAATAATTGTACCTGCATTTATATGTTATATTCATCCAGCATTTTTTGTATCTGAAGTTGATACTAAAGGACAATGTCGAGAAAAAGGTGGTTATGAACGTTATTTAACTAATCTTAATATGATCGATACAATAATGACAATGTTTTTACCATTTATTCTTGTTTCAATATTAAATATACTTATTATAAGAAAATTATTTTGTTCAAAAGAATTTCGTCAACATGCTTTTGCTAATGGTTCACGTTATCAATGTCGACGTACATCAAATGGAAAAAAACTTAATTCAAAACCAATAAAACGTATTTCAGCATCATTATCGCCAATAACAAGTCTTCCACAATCAAATCCAATATTATCATATCGTTCACAACGTATTATTCGTCCATTTCGTTTAACAAGAAAACAGCAAACATTATGTTTATATCGAACATTTACTAATACTGAATCGTCACAAACAAATATAAATCATAATGATACAAATAATAATCCATTAAATGAACAACATCAACAATCAATAAAATTAAAATCAACTTTTAAAAAAAATCAAACACCATCATCAAAACGTCATGAATCAGCACAGCGACATGTATTAACTGAATTACGTTTAACAAAAATGCTTTTAGCTATATCATTAACATGTCTTTCGTTAAATTTTCCATCATATTATCTTCGTTTTATGTTTTTATATGAAAATTCACAAGAAAGTTCATCATCAAATAAAACTACTGCTAGTACTACTACTACTACAGCACCTGAAAGTGATTTTGCTTTTTATCGGGGTGTCATTTTTCATTATATGTCGTATTTAAGTTATGCAATTAATATTTTTATTTATTTATTATTTGGTGGAAATTTTCGTCGTGCTTTAAGGCGTCTATTTTCATTTACACCGTCACATTCAGAAAGTTTCAATACAACTTCACGTAAAAAAATGTTATTAAATAATGAAAAACAATATGGAAATATGTCTGATTATGATTCAATAGCAATGACATCAACATCATTCAATGAGTCTATACGTGATTATTCCAAAAGCTTTAAAATACGAGAACAACCTAGTTTATGTCGTTCATTACAGCAACAACAACCAATTTTTATAAGTTAGCAGAATCTAACATAATAATCAAGAAATGTAATCATTGATGAAGAAAACAAACAAACAAACAAACAAACTTTATTTCAGAAAACTTCCGGTGATTATTTATTGCATTTTTTTTCGTGTTCATTATAACATAAGAAGCCTTTTTTTTCCAAAAATAAGATATAACAAAACAAATGAATTTATTCTAATTTCTCGTGTTTTAAAATAATGATAATTGTAAATCATATTTTTCTGTATATGATGTCACGAAATATCAGCAGAATTAATTGCCTACTTCATGATCAATGTTAACCGATTAAGATCGACATGCATGCACATCCACACAGACCATCTATTTGTTCTTTAATTGTAAAATCTCAGTAAAACTGTTCACAGGTAAGAAAATGCAAAAAGAAAAAAGAAAAAAAAAACAAAACTCAAGATACAATCTGTATCATAAAAACAATTCTTTGGACGGATTTTAAGAAAAAAAAAAAAACAAAATTCAATAAAAAGTCAAAAAGAAAAAACAAAACAAACAGATAAGATTATATATCATACTAGTCTACATTATAGTCAGAAACAAAAATAAACAAATACGTTAACCTTCGCAGAATCATATGGCCTAGAAAAATTGCCTATTTATATAAGTATACAAGACAAAAAAAAAGAAAAAAACAAACGAAAATTTGTTCTTTAAAATACACTAAAACATATTTTCTTTCAAATGAATTAATGAAATGTGTTATTCCAAGAACATACACAAGTCTATCAAAAACAAGAAAAGAATTTATGTCTAAAAAATTGACATAAATTATCAATAATCACAAGAACAAATAAGAATTATAGTCAAACAATTAAAAATTATATAAAGCAAAAAAAATTTTCAATTATTTTATAGAGTAGCATCACTATCCATATCGGTATATGGTAATGTTGTTGGTAGTTCAATTAAAGCAACACAATGATGTTTGACATGACGATATTTTCTTGTTATTGCCCATTTATCATGTACATGTGCTTTGGCAATAAGAAAAAAAATTTTTTCCATTATCAAATAAAATGCTTGAATTGTATAACCAGTTGCTTGTTTCAATGTATTTGACTAAAACAATATTGATAAATGATCATTTTACGATAAAAATAGTTTATTTTGTAATGTTATATATTTACCCAAGGTGGTTTATGACGTATGTGAAGTGCAAGACATAATATAGCAGCTGCTTGTAAACTCGATGAATGTTGAAGACATTCAGGATCAAGAAGTGTTAATTCAGCAATATACTAAGAAAGAATAATATAATAAAAAGAAAATAAAATTAACTTTACAAAACAAAAGTAATTCAAGCAAAAAAAAAAAGATTTATTTATTTTCTATGAACATTTTATTAGCTTAATTCAAGTTAGAATAGATCGAATTATTGAAAAAAATATTTATAATTGAAGTTGAAATATTTATATACTTTAGGAACCAAATAAATGCGTAATTTAATCTTCCTCTAAGGCATGTCAAAAGGATTAGAAATCATTATTCACTGAGCAAACGTAGAACAAGTTATTATTAGATATGACAAAATTTTTGAAATATGACGCATTTTGCATTCACAGGAACATGATTAAATAGTTAATTTCTTTTTTCAAATGTTTAAAAGTCATAATAAGAAAACATGTATATTGTTGTAGTATTTCTTATTAAATGAATTCAATGATTTCCATACAAAACGGAAATATAATAAGTCTTCTAGAGTGGAAATTTTATTGGTTATACTAAGTTTAAGTGCAGGAAGTTTATACCGTTAAATTCTATCTCGTCTAGATGCTACGATTTGATAAAGATTTTTCTATAGATGTTGTACAAAAATAGATTTCAGAAAGTAGTTATCTTCTTACAAAGTTGGCTAGATTCCACAGTTCTAAGGCAAGTTTAGCTTGAAAGTGCAAAATTCAATAATAAAAGAAGAAGAAAAAGTTCAAAAGCAATATCTTACTGATTGTAGATCAACTATAAATAACATCTTAAACTTTTAATTTTAATTTACCATTGATTAAACTAGTAGTGAATAGAATAACTGTAGTCGTTTTTTTTTTCTAAATTTTTCCTAATGGAAAATATTACGATAATAAACATATTCATTTTTAATGACTTTTAAACATTTGAAAATATCTACCAATATATGATTTTGCAATTTGGATATTACATGAAATTGTGAATCTTTTGAAAAATAAATTAGCCTTTTCTCATGTTCTTGAATGAACATAGATGCAAATAGTTTGCCACAGCAGGCACGACCTTCTTTTTTAATTCAAATTGAAAACATTGATATGCATCTCATTCTTAACGATTAGTAAAGAAGAACAATATAGATTTTATCTTCTAGTTTGACATTATAGTTTATCAAGTTAATAATCTTTATTACTTTATTCTATTTTAGTCATTAAAAAAACCGGAAAAATCCCACGAGTAATTCAACAACTAGTTCTAGGCTATGCTTTTATTTGTTTAAATCAGCATATATCTATAATGACCAACAGGAATGATCTGATCCTTGCAACTTTTGAGGAGGAGGTGTAGAAAATTTTTCTCCGAGTTGGTGTGTGCCTAAAATAATGACAGATTTCTCAGTGTTTACTTTTTGTATAGAATGCAGTTCAATTAATATTATCATATATTATAAAACATTAGAAAAGATGAGAGATGCACACCAACATATACGATGAAAGAAGTGAATGAGCAAAAGATAGATGCATAGGAAAATTCTGAATTGATCACGATTAGGAGAGACGCATTCACATTGTTTTCTCAACTGGATTATTGTTTTTTTTTGTTTTCGTTATTTATAGTGCAAGAAAGATTTTCAATTCAGCAGCATCCTACTCTATTAAAAATAAAGTCGATTTTTCTCCGGTTTTTTCGAAGAAGTAGAATATCTTCATATGAATTTCAAAGTAAAAATTCTCAACACTTCCAACGTCAAAGATATTCACTCTAGCGAGTATTGATCCAAATCATGCTTTCCAAAAACTACAATAAATTAAAATTTTCTTGAACTATGGCTTAAATCTTTGAGCACTGCTTACGCCTATGCAACTTCTCATATTACTTTTACAGGATGTTGAAGAAAAACATCATTTATATCTCTGTTTTAGCAAAAAAAAATCAGCAAACTCTCAGCATTTATTTATTTTCCAGCCTTTTGACTAATAATAATCCTAAAAATATTATTACTATTGATGGGGATCTCAAACTTCCGACATTCTCCGGTCGAACCATCCCTGAATGACAATTAATGTAGATTTATTTACTTTAAAAATTAATTCATCGAACTAATCCTACAAAAGATCATCAGTATTACAAATATATTCGAAAAAGAAAATCATATTAACCATCAATGTTATTTTAACAATAAAAACTTTGTAAAGGTCAAATCGTTTTGTTAGATTGATTTTACTTTACAAGCTTCATAAATCTAATATACTTATCGAATTAAATCAGATTTTAAAACTTATATTTAATGGCTCTATTGATTTGAGATATAATCTTTTTCTATTATTTTTAATCAAAAAACAAAAAATATTTTTTTCTCTATTAAGCATATAAAACTTCTAAAATTAATTTATATTATTTTACAGAACACATAAATTTAGTTATTATTAGATCATTGGGAAGGAGAAAAAAAAAATTCTAAATTTAAACAAAAAAATATTATACCAAAATAGTTTATCAGTATCCGAGTTGAAGTCTAGATTTTGTATATTATTTCGTATACAGATGATAAACACTGTCCTCTAGAAATTAAAAATAATATCGATATAATTTTCTAAAAATTATTTATTATTTAAATAAATCTATCGATCAGATTAAACAACTATAATTAAGTTCTAGCGCAGTTTTAATATTCTTTCTCTTCATGAGAATATCTATTAGTTTTATTTTGTTTATAGTTCAAAAATTTAAATATCTATAATCTTACTAAATACTAAATATTAAAATCATTCTATAATTTGTTTGATTAGATTAAACTATATTATATACAATCTAGATTAACTAAATTACAATTTTTCATATAATTGATATTAAGATAACTATAGGTAAATATTTGTCTTTACTTTACTACGTATCGTTAACGCTATATTAATATTATTTCTAATATTGTTAATTAGCGAAAAAATCGGATGGTTGAATCCATACAAGGAATCTGAATTTTTAAATGTGATATTTGCCTTAACAACTCTAACATTTAATATTAATTCTTTCGGAATAAGAAAGAGTTTCAATAAAATATTTCCTATGTGTTATATAGCGAATTTCTTTTTCTTTCGTTGAATTCTTACCCTCGCTAAATCTTCAGTAACTTCATCAACTTGAGCTAATTTAAGATAATGTAATAAAAATGTATGTGTTGTTACAGTTGATACTTCAAAATGAAGTGTTTGTAATAAAAGATCTTCTATTTTTAATACTTGTTTTTTTGTATATGCATTATCAGTAACATATGCAAATTCAGCTGCATTTGGTGGATAAACTTCTTCACATTTTCTATCAAAAAAAAAAAAAAACTTTTTTTTGCATATATATTTTTTTTTAAATTTTATTATCAAAATAAAAAAAAACTAAAACAAACATACGCCGCTAAATAAAGTGCTGTTGTACCAATTAATTGAAATTTTGATTTTGTTACTGACATACGTGAAAGAAATCGATCAATAAAATTAACAGCTAAATGAAGTGTTTCAGAAAATAATTTATATTCATCAGCTACTTCTGATAACCAATCAATTAATATAGCTCTCATATCCCATGTTAATTCTGTTTGTTTACGCATATAATTTGGTTTTGGTCGTGATGTATTCTATGACGAAAACAAAAAATTAAAAGTAGAATTTATTTATTTATTTAAATTAATAATTAAAATATTTCTTTTTTTCATCATACTTCTCGTTTTCTAAGATATAATAAAATTTCTGATGCATATTCATCAACATTAATTAAAACTTGTTCATTTTCATTTGCTTTACGTTTTTTT